GCAGGAGATCACTGCGATGTTCAAGCAGCGCCTCGGCGATGGCTTCCTTGAGGTACAGCCGCAGTGTTTTAGCGGTGTACCGGTCGGCGCCGCACTCCCAGAGGCAGACGAGCACCGCCAGCGGCACCATCCAGCGGGCAACGGCGCGACGGGGCATGGTCCGCACTGTACCCGAGCGACACTTAACCGCGTAATGCTCTGCTTCTCCGTCTGCAGAACACCGCACTCCGCGATGCCTTTCTGCCCGAACCTCTTATAATCCACTGACACATCCCAGTTCTCCGGAGGCTGGTGGTGACCATGGGCATATTCAGCATCGAAGGAAGTCAGCTGGAAGGGACGAAGCTTCTATTTTCGCATCACTTACAGGAAAGCCATGCCGACAAAAAATCCGCTTTTTCATTGTCTTGGTGGTTTCGTCGCCCGTTGCTCCCCTGTTCTTAACTGGCTCCGCCACTGTAAGCACTTACATAACGCTGGCCGCTCAGTTGGTGCATGACATTTTTGAAGGAAGTGCATGACCGGTTTTCGTCCGGTTTTGAGTAATCTGCAATGAAGCCGGACGGGCGAGATTAAAGGCCACAGTGACTGGACTGCAGCTTTGAATGCGCCCTCACACAAACCCGCCTGCACTCGACCGCCTAAATTCACCCGCAAATGATGAGGCACCACTGCCCGTGCTAAAACAGCAGTTGGAGACCCATCAGTCATGCTTACATCGTTTGTCAGACTGGCAGCGTATTCACATACATCTGTTGACGAATGTTCTGGATCACTTGGACTTCGACAGCAATGAGCCAGTGGACAAGTAGTTGCATGCTAGTTAACGCGCGCATGGGTGAAGGGGGGGGGAGGCAGTGTATCCCCCTCAAAGTGTTTTTATAACATGATATTCAAACGGTGCGGCGGAGCTTACATGTACCTTGTCAGGCCACTGATCTTTGGCTGTCGGCAAAGACAATTTCTGGAGAATCGTTCAATCTGATGCGACAGAGGGGTGTTGGACGAAATAATGCATCTTTGAGATATTTTTTAACCAAGAAACTGTTAAATTTAGGGTTAAAACAAACCCTTTTAACCGAGTGTCAGACATGAAGGCCAGAACCATGTTAAAGACCAACCTGTTTTTTACTGACGATTTTGCTTTACGGGATAGCTTATAACATTCATTTCAAATTTCTTTGTAACGCGGACCACAAATACATCTTTTGTGGATTTCTGAAACGCCAGGATTAGTCACTGGACCAAAATGACCTAGACTGACCTTTTGTTGTAAGCATGCACCGCCTACCGCAGTCCCTCATGCTTAATCAACTAACAAATCAGAACAAATGTTTATTCATATGACAAGATTAAAGCGATCTGGTACCTTTAGGGCGAGGAAAGAAGAGTAGTTCTGTTAAAAAGCATTAGCAGCGTTATTTGGACTAAAAATTAATTGGAATCGGCAGCCCCTGATTATGTTATGAAGGTGCTGAAGTGGTACTAACCAATGCGTTATTAGAGGAAGCTGGTTATAAGGTTTCACTAGAGTATGGTTTTGGAATGCGCCCCATTGTGGGACACTCCATTAAAACGCGCTCGAGTGGGGGTCAAATTGACTCCAAAGGTTTTTCCGTAATGGTTTGCGACTTGCATAGCTTTCGACAATTGAATAGCGGATCGTCTGGCATCAAAAATCTAGATATACCTTGTAAGGTCGCTGATCTATGACAGGCCAAATTTAGGCCATGGTTTCAGCGAAGGCAATTTCTAGGGAATCGTTCAATCTGATCCAACAATGGATGGTTAGACGAAGCCATATATCTCGGAGATACGCTCTTAGGTAATACTACAATTAAATGAAAAAATTACATTGACCTAAGGTCAGGTATAAAGGTCAGACCAAGGTCAAAATGAGCCTATTTTATTACTCTATGGCATGCCTTGTGAGGTAGTTTCTGGTCGTCGTTTCGAATTCATTCTTAACAGGAACCGTATTATACACCTTGCATGGACATTTGAAAGGTCAGCATAGGTCACCGATCTAGAATGACAGGTCAATATTTTGTTTTTAGGCACATACTGCCTAGTGTAATCTTTGTTGCTTATCCACATGCAAAGCTTAAAGCAGTCTTGTATGATTTCGGTCACCATAGTCTTTAAACGGTCAAACGAGGTCACTGACGTTAGATGACCATGTGAATTTCTGCTTAGAACAGTTATCCAGCTTCCAGCAGTCCTTCGGAGACCAGCCTGGACTTTGACCTTGTTTCACCTGATTCTACCCGAAGATCATGACCTAAAAACCTCAAAATTGTATTTAAATGAGTTCATTTACAGGGCAACATACTCTGTAAAGCTATTGTTTCTAGCTCTCGTAGTTCCTGAGATATCAGCGGAGTCAAATTAACCCCCGACCCGAGCGAAGGGTATGCAAGTGGCCACCCGAGCGCGCGTTAAAAACACCAAAGCTGGACTGATGGAGCTTTTCGTACTTATCAATCCAGATGCACGCCCTAGGGCATGCATTAGGATTTCTTCTTAGCTCGGATTCTTGAGCAGTTTCAATACATGCTTAGCTCCCCGACATGATGTCTTGTGAAGTAGAACTACGAGCGTAGCTGTCGCAAATGTTGGTGAGCTCCGACCAATGTTGGCTGTTAGCCAGTTTAGAATTTTGTTGCGTTTTGATAATAGCTATAAACCGGCACTAAAACCGCACTGGATTCATTAACATTTCCTATAAACTGACATTAAAACCGAACTAGCACCCACTAACATTTAAGGAATGGGGACATCCACAGATAAAAGCCTATCGGTTGATCACCTTAAACTTTTCAAAGATGCCTATTTCCGGTTCCTAAAACATCCATCATGACTGTCCTTCGTTAATGAATAATTTTCGGCAACATTCCAACAACTGAGTAAACCATAACGGGAAAGCGTGGAGAGTTGTATAAGCTTTATTGTGAGATTTCTTGTGGTATAACTTCTGAACATATGACTGAGGTTCTCATATCTTTAGACAGCTGTAATCTTCAGCCTCATGTGGTGCTTCAGTGATGCACTTTTGGATGCTTCTAAACAGCATCATTCCTTTTTGGAGACCTGTAGCTTTCGCTGCAACTTTGTTTTGCATCTGTTCCGTGATTTTGGCACGCATCAGCGACCTCGTACATTTCATTTACATTTCATTTCATACGTACATTTCGACCCCTTGGTTGTTGAAGTTATGACAGTCATCATATTTGTGGACCTATTCGTAATACCCACACGGACAGCACCTGGCCACCAGTTTTACTTTAATATCCTTAATTCCATGATATGGCTAGCGGTGAACTGCATCGAAAACAATAAGATAAATGCCCACACAATACAAGGTTCTTATCTTCGCGTCCAAGTCAACAGCCGCATGCCTCTAAAATTCATGTAGCCGGATAAAACACGGTCTGTTTCCCATCCTGTGTACTACATGCTTTACTCAGGACATGCAATTTTGCAGCTATCGGCGTGGGGTGTTTTACCCTGCGAGGCGTCTTGCACCGTCGGACCGCACCCACATTGCTGAAATATAAAACCGGTGGTCCTTCAGGTAGCTGTACTTGGATCACTTGGTAAAACGTACACCGGTGTAGCCGCGTATGTCAGACTTCTCAGCAGGTGGCTAGGCATTTCTTCAACCTCTCAAACTACAGGTTTCTTCTGATGCCAACTGGTACATTGGGAATCCTAGTTCTGAACATTGTTTGTCTTTCCACTTGGCGAACCTGGAGCCGAGACTAAATGGCTCTTTCGGCCAGGTCTCCACGCAGTCTCCTGTGCCATTGTTGCTGTCTGGTTGACTTGCAGACACACCGGGGTGAGGTTGATTCACGTTCGCGTTCTGCCCTTTTACTTAGCGGTGTTTTACCGACAGACATCGTGCAATCAGTGCCTTGCCTTTCAGCCATTATTCGTTTTCCTGTTGATACGCCTATATCATTCATGATCCATTGTGGGGCAAATTATGCACACATTTTCTTTACAGTACATTCTAATGTGTCCATTCATGTAAGGCTTCACCTTTCGGTACGATTCGGAAAATCATCGTCTAATATATATCTCAACTTCATTGTTCGCTTATGTTTAAGAGGTACACACGGTGTAATAGAGCTTAAGCCGCATCATGTTACAAGGCGCCCGCCTTCGTGGGTATCTCCGTCTCTATGCGCTTCTATTAGACTTCTCCCAACCAATAGAAGTGCTTGCCGCCGCTGAAGTTAGAGCTCGATCAACAACTGGAGCGAATCAGACCTTGGTCTGCTAAGTCGTGAAACTTTAACCTGCCGTACCAGATGAAAAGCGCTCGCCAGAATTCGCAAGAGACGAAGGCGCACCACAAATAACGTCAATATCTCTCAACTTCATCACTACTATGACTACCGTCGCTTTTAAATGAAGCCTTGCTTGTGTAACTCAACAAGAAATTCGGTACATCTTACCACGCATTTCGAAGACCAAAACAGGCAATATTACAAAGTCAGTTTGTGCTTAACTCTCCACATAAGAGGTGCAGGACCGCAGGCCATGCCGCCAGGCAGCACCAGCTGGCGATGCAAACGGGGCTGGGGCTCCCAGTCGGTTGTTTACGGACATAGTCCGGCGGTGCCTCCTTTGTCGCGGGAGAGTTGGCTGGACTGAGTGCAGGCGTGTTTATTTGACGGCACATTCTTAGTGTGCAGTCTGGTCGCCGCAGCATTTCATCTGGCCCGTGTGGCTCTATTGCTAGTGCGCAAAACCGGACTAAAACCGGCATGGCCGGTGTGGTACAACGGCGTGCAGTGGCGGAGCCAGTGGGAAGATTGGGGAGGAACCAAAACAGCATCAAGACGACGAAAAGCATGGTTTCCTTATTTTTCACCGGGATGTAGGGAATGCAGCGATAGGAGTTTTACTCCTCATGGTATTTGATGCTGAATTCGCCCATGGTCACCACTAGCCTCCGGAGAACTGGGGATGTGTCAGTGGGTTCTAAGAGGTTCGAGCAGAAGGGTATCGCGGAGTGCGGTGCTCCGCAGACAGAGAAGCAGAGCATTACGCGGATAAGTGTCGCTCGGGTACAGTGCGTACCATGCCCCGTCGCGCCGTTGCCCGCTGGATGGTGCCGCTGGCGGTGCTCGTCTGCCTCTGGGAGTGCGGCGCCGACCGGTACACCGCCAAAACACTGCGGCGCTACCTCAAGGAAGCCATCGCTGAGGCGCTGCTTGAACACCGCAGTGAGTTCCTGCCGCCAGAGACAGCGCCGACCACCTCACAGTGCGGGTGCCCGAAGCAGTTCGTGCCGTGCGCCGGCCGCTGCTACCGGCGGCTGTCCCCCGCCGTCACGTATGAACAAGCTGAACAGGCGTGCGCGCAGATCAACTCGCACCTGGCGGTGCCGCGCACTCGTGACGAGAACCTGTGCGCCGCCGGTCTGGCCCGCAACCGGCACATCTGGCTGGGAATTACCGATCAGCTCACCGAGGGAGTGTTTGTCGACATCTTCGGCCGATCGGTGACGGAAGAACTTACCCAGGTGTGGTCCGCAAGCCAACCAGACAACTACAATGGTACAGAAGATTGTGTTGAGATTTGGCCGGAAAACGCATTTAATCTCGGTTCCAAGTTCGCCGAATGGAATGACAAACACTGCTCTGAACTGGGATACCCAATGTGTCAATTGGCATGATAAGAAACCTGTAGTTCGAGAGGTTGAAGAAATGCCTAGCCACCTGCTGAGAAGTCTGACTTACGCGGCTACACCGGAGTACGTTTTACCAAGTGATCCAAGTACAGCTACCTGAAGGACCACCGGTTTTATATTTCAGCAATGTGGGTGCGGTACGACGGTGCAAGACGCCTCGCAGGGTAAAACACCCCACGCCGATAGCTGCAAAATTGCATGTCCTGAGTAAAGCATGTGATGTACAGGATGGGAAACAGACCATGTTTTATCCGGCTACATGAAATTGGTATGAATGCGGCTGTTTACTTGGAAACGGAGGTAAGAACGGGATATCATGTGAGCATTTCTGTCATTTTTTCGTTGCAGTTCAACCCTAGCGATATCATGTATTTAAGTATATTGAAACAACGCTGGTGGTCAGGTGCAGCCTGCGTGGGTATTAAGAACAGGTCGACAAATGTGATGACTGACATAACTTCAACGACCAAGGGCAATGAAATGTACGAGGTCGCTGATGCGTGCCAAAATCAACGGAACAGATGCAGGAAAGACTCACAGCGGAAGGTACGGATCCCCAAAAAGGAATTAGGCTGTTAAAAAAACATCTAAAAATATATCACTGAGGCACCATACACATGAGGCTGAAGATTACAGCTGTCTGGAGATATGAGAATCTTGGAATATGCTCAGAAGTTATGGCAGGAGGAAGCTCATAACAACCCTTACAACTTTCCCTACCTTTTTTCAGTTCAAAACGCTGCTATGGGCGAACTGCAACAAGAAAAGCGGAAGACATACCCACATAATGCAAAGTTCTCACCTTCGTTGTCACGCAAACATCCGCATCCATTTGAAACACACGTAACGCTTTGAAACGCGTGAAAACTTTTTCTCAGCCTGTGCATTACACATTTTGCTCAGGGCATCAAGTTTTAGAGCTATCAGCGTAGGGTTTTTACCACGCGAGACGTTTTGCACCACTTTACCGTGCAAAATTTGCTCAACTATGCAACTGATGATGCTTTACGTCAAAACACTTGGTTCTCTTGCTATCAGTGTGCCCCGGTGCAGCCACGCGAGTCAAACTTCTCAGCAAGTGGCTAGGCCTTTCTTCACCTTCTCCAACTACGTGTTTCTTCTCATGCCGATTGGCACATTGGGTATCCCAGATGAAAGCATGGCTTGTCATTCCACTCGGCGAACCTGGAGCCAAAATTATATGCGTTTTCCGGCCAGATCTCCACACAGTCTTCTGTATCGTTGTGGTTGTCTGGTTGATTTGCGGACCACATCTGGGTAAGCTCTTCTGTCACCGACCGGCCGAAGATGTCGACAAACACTCCCTCGGTGAGCTGATCGGTAATTCCCAGCCAGATGTGCCGGTTGCGGGCCAGACCGGCGGCGCATAGGTTCTCGTCACGAGTGCGCGGCACCGCCAGGTGCGAGTTGACCTGCGCGCACGCCTGTTCAGCTTGTTCATACGTGACGGCCGGGGACAGCCGCCGGTAGCAGCGGCCGGCGCACGGTATGAACTGCTTCGCACACCCGGACTGTGAGGTGGTCGGTGCTGTCTCCGGCTGCAGGAGATCACTGCGATGTTCAAGCAGCGCCTCGGCAATGGCTTCCTTGAGGTACAGCCGCAGTGTTTTAGCGGTGTACCGGTCGGCGCCGCACTCCCAGAGGCAGACGAGCACCGCCAGCGGCACCATCCAGCAGGCAACGGCGCGACGGGGCATGGTCCGTACTGTACCCGAGCGACACTTAACCGCGTAATGCTCTGCTTCTCTGTCTGCGAAGCACCGCACTCTGCGATGCCCTTCTGCCCGAACCTCTTATAATCCACTGACACATCCCAGTTCTCCGGAGGCTGGTGGTGACCATGGGCATATTCAGCATCGAAGGAAGTCAGCTGGAAGGGACGAAGCTCCTATTTTCGCATCACTTACAGGAAAGCCATGCCGACGAAAAATCCGCTTTTTCATAGTCTTGGTGGTTTCGTCGCCCGTTGCTCCCCTGTTCTTAACTGGCTCCGCCACTGTAAGCACTTACATAACGCTTGTCGCTCAGTTGGTGCATGACATTTTTGAAGGAAGTGCATGACCGGTTTTCGTCCGGTTTTGAGTAATCTGCAATGAAGCCGGACGGGCGAGATTAAAGGCCACCGCGACTGGACTGTAGCTTTAAATGCGCCCTCACACAAACCCGCCTGCACTCGACCGCCTAAATTCACCCGCAAATGATGAGGCACCACTGCCCGTGCTAAAACAGCAGTTGGAGACCCATCAGTCATGCTTACATCGTTTGTCAGACTGGCAGCGTATTCACATACATCTGTTGACGAATGTTCTGGATCACTTGGACTTCGACAGCAATGAGCCAGTGGACAAGTAGTTGCATGCTAGTTAACGCGCGCATGGGTGAAGGGGGGGGGAGGCAGTGTATCCCCCTCAAAGTGTTTTTATAACATGATATTCAAACGGTGCGGCGGAGCTTACATGTACCTTGTCAGGCCACTGATCTTTGGCTGTCGGCAAAGACAATTTCTGGAGAATCGTTCAATCTGATGCGACAGAGGGGTGTTGGACGAAATAATGCATCTTTGAGATATTTTTTAACCAAGAAACTGTTAAATTTAGGGTTAAAACAAACCCTTTTAACCGAGTGTCAGACATGAAGGCCAGAACCATGTTAAAGACCAACCTGTTTTTTACTGACGATTTTGCTTTACGGGATAGCTTATAACATTCATTTCAAATTTCTTTGTAACGCGGACCACAAATACATCTTTTGTGGATTTCTGAAACGCCAGGATTAGTCACTGGACCAAAATGACCTAGACTGACCTTTTGTTGTAAGAATGCACCGCCTACCGCAGTCCCTCATGCTTAATAAACTAACAAATCAGAACAAATGTTTATTCATATGACAAGATTAAAGCGATCTGGTACCTTTAGGGCGAGGAAAGAAGAGTAGTTCTGTTAAAAAGCATTAGCAGCGTTATTTGGACTAAAAATTAATTGGAATCGGCAGCCCCTGATTATGTTATGAAGGTGCTGAAGTGGTACTAACCAATGCGTTATTAGAGGAAGCTGGTTATAAGGTTTCACTAGAGTATGGTTTTGGAATGCGCCCCATTGTGGGACACTCCATTAAAACGCGCTCGGGTGGGGGTCAAATCGACCCCAAAGGTTTTTCCGTAATAGTTTGCGACTTGCATAGCTTTCGACAATTGAATAGCGGATCGTCTGGCATCAAAAATCTAGATATACCTTGTAAGGTCGCTGATCTATGACAGGCCAAATTTAGGCCATGGTTTCAGCGAAGGCAATTTCTAGGGAATCGTTCAATCTGATCCAACAATGGATGGTTAGACGAAGCCATATATCTCGGAGATACGCTCTTAGGTAATACTACAATTAAATGAAAAAATTACATTGACCTAAGGTCAGGTATAAAGGTCAGACCAAGGTCAAAATGAGCCTATTTTATTACTCTATGGCATGCCTTGTGAGGTAGTTTCTGGTCGTCGTTTCGAATTCATTCTTAACAGGAACCGCATTATACACCTTGCATGGACTTTTGAAAGGTCAGCATAGGTCACCGATCTAGAATGACAGGTCAATATTTTGTTTTTAGGCACATACTGCCTAGTGTAATCTTTGTTGCTTATCCACATGCAAAGCTTAAAGCAGTCTTGTATGATTTTGGTCACCATAGCCTTTAAACGGTCAAACGATGTCACTGACGTTAGATGAGCATGTGAATTTCTGCTTAGAACAGTTATCCAGCTTCCAGCAGTCCTTCGGAGACCAGCCTGGACTTTGACCTTGTTTCACCTGATTCTACCCGAAGATCGTGATCTAAAAATCTCAAAATTGTATTTAAATGAGTTCATTTACAGGGCAACATACTCTGTAAAGCTATTGTTTCTAGCTCTCGTAGTTCCTGAGATCTCAGCGGAGTCAAATTAACTCCCGACCCGAGCGAAGGGTATGCAAGTGGCCACCCGAGCGCACGTTAAAAACACCAAAGCTGGACTGATGGAGCTTTTCGTACTTATGAATCCAGATGCACGCCCTAGGGCATGCATTAGGATTTCTTCTTAGCTCGGATTCTTGAGCAGTTTCAATACATGTTTAGCTCACCGACATGATGTCTTGTGAAGTAGAACTACGAGCGTAGCTGTCGCAAATGTTGGTGAGCTCCGACCAATGTTGGCTGTTAGCCAGTTTAGAATTTTGTTGCGTTTTGATAATAGCTATAAACCGGCACTAAAACCGCACTGGATTCATTAACATTTCCTATAAACTGACATTAAAACCAAACTAGCACCCACTAACATTTAAGGAATGGGGACATCCACAGATAAAAGCCTATCGGTTGATCACCTTAAACTTTTCAAAGATGCCTATTTCCGGTTCCTAAAACACCCATCATGACTGTCCTTCGTTAATGAATAATTTTCGGCAACATTCCAACAACTGAGTAAACCATAACGGGAAAGCGTGGAGAGTTGTATAAGCTTTATTGTGAGATTTCTTGTGGTATAACTTCTGAACATATGACTGAGGTTCTCATATCTTTAGACAGCTGTAATCTTCAGCCTCATGTGGTGCTTCAGTGATGCATTTTTGGATGCTTCTAAACAGCATCATTCCTTTTTGGAGACCTGTAGCTTTCGCCGCAACTTTGTTTTGCATCTGTTCCGTGATTTTGGTACGCATCAGCGACCTCGTACATTTCATTTACATTTGGGTCGGTATCGAAACCCCTAATGCGTGTAACCACTAATGTATCGGAACGCCTAATGTATCACAACCGCTAGCGCTTCATAACGCCTAATGTACGTAGCACCTAATGTGTCATAACCCCTAAGGTATCGTAACTCCTAATGTATCACAACACCTAATGCATCACAACTCCTAATGCATCGTAGCTCCCAATGTGTCATAACGCCTAACGTATTATAATCCCTGATGCTCGTAGCCTCTAATGTAACACAACTCCTAATATATCATATTCCCTAAGGTATCATAACACCTAGTGTCTCATAACACCTAATGTGTCGCAAGACCCAACGTATCGTAATTCCTAACGCTCGTAACCTCTAATGTCACACAACTCCTAATATATCATAACACCTAATGTATTGTAAGACCTAGTGTATCATAACCCCTAATGTTCGTAACTCCTAAATCAGCTGACTGCAGCGGGTGTGTCGCACACGATTCTCACCCGCACAGCTGGGCGATGTGCAGTCTACTAAAGTCTACCGAACCACCCGTTAGTATTCCGGAGCCACTGCAGTCACGATGGAACACTTC